AGCAGTGCTTAGCTGGGTGCGGGGGGGAACATGCCTACAGTCCCAGCGACTTGGGACATGAAGACAAGAGGATCACTAGTTCAAGGCAAGCCTCAGAAAATGAATAAGACCCTGACTAAGGATGTAGCTTAGTGATAAAGCACCTCTGGGTTAAATCCCCAGTACAGTCAATCAATGCATGATTATTAGAGATCATTTTGGAAGTGCTAAAAGGTTAAAAAAGCAAATAAAAACAAATTTCCCGGCTGATGATGTAGCTCAGTGGTAGGGTTTGCCCTGGGTTCAATCTCCATTACCCAAAAGAATAATAAGTAAATTCCCATATTTCTCAAGATCAGGAAAAAACATTGTGACGTATTTCTGTCTAATTATTTTAAATGTCTAGTCTTTCTTTAATGCATAATTAAAAACTCGGGGTCCAGTGTATAATAGTTGTCAAAACATATGTATTAAACATGTAGAAGAAAGTAAAATGTTACATGATGGGCTGGGGCTGGGGCTCAGTGGTAGAGCGCTTGCTTAGCACAGGTGAGGCACTGGGTTTGAGCCTTAGCACCTATGTGGTGCTATTTATTATTTATTTTTATATAAAATAAAATAAAGGTATTGTATCTACCTACAACTAAAAAAAACATTAAAAATGTTACATGACAGATGTTTTAGGGAATCTCTTAAGTTGAACTAAGCTGAAGATAGAACCTTCTAGAAATCACCTTCCCTCATGAGTAATTAAGGACTCTACTAGAATCAGCCAATCAGTAATCATTTTACTGAGCATGTACTATATGTTAGGTATCCTTCTGGGTGCTTGAGGACTCTGCAGAGGACAAACAAGACCCAGTCCCTGTCCTCATAGAGCCCACAGTCCAGTGGAGGAGGGAGTTAACTATAAAAGGATAAATTACTAGGGATAAATGAGCCTTTAAATTGGGCATATGAAGAGCTGCAGAGAGCCACCAGATGTAGTGGTGCTCACCTGTGATCCCAGCAGTTTGAGAGGCTGAGGCAGGAGGATCGAGAGTTCAAAGCCAGCCTCAGCAACCTAGTTAAGACTCTGTCTCTAACTAAAACACAAAAGGACTGGGGACATGGCTCAGTGGTTAAGCGCCCATGGGTTCCATCCCTGGTACCAAAAAATTTTTTTTAAAAAGAGCTGCAGAGAAGTTTGGGGATCTGTGGGGCAATAAACTATTGCCCAAACCTCGTCTTAAGGGTCAGAAGGTCTGGCTGAGATTAGAAAGCTGAGGGAGAAAAGGTGGCTGGGAGGGGTAAGGGAAGAGCACGCTGTGGACCAAGGCAGGACGGCAGGGGCCGGGCATGTCAGGAACTGCAGGGAGGTCAGCAGCTTCCATCAGAATTATGCCCAGAACCCGAGGTTTGCATCTCTTTTTACAGTTGGGGAAACTGAGGCTCAGAGATGTCCGATGACGAGCTGTGTCCATACCACAGGATAAGAAGAGCTGAGCTTGAACCCAGATCTCACTGGGGAGCCCTCATGATTTCCCTTCCCTGAGTGGTACCAGAATGAGGAATGGGGAGAGGGGACAGGGTTCCAAGGGGGGTGTCCAAAAAGAAGCTACGAGCCCGTGATGCCAGAGTAACCGTTTTCTTTTGTTTCTGCAGCTATGGAGTCAAAATCCGGGCCCCTCACGCACTGGTCATGACCTTCCTCTTCAGGAGTGGCAGGTACCACCCGTTCTGGGCACCCGTCAAACCAGTTCCACCCTCTGTGCCTGGCCAGGTCGAGCCTGGGCCCTGCCGTACCTAACTCCAGCTCCAGTCCCACGTCCTTGCTTGAAAATGCCCAGGCTCCCCACTGTTTCCAAAGAAGCCCAACTTCCAGGCCTGGCCTTCAGTGCCTTCTGTAGCCTGGCCTCAGCTCTGTCCCCACTCTGTCCACCCAGGGATGCCCTGGGCACACAGAGCTCCCCACCTTTCCATGCACTTACCACAAGTGGTTCCACTTCCATTTGCCCAGCTCCACCCACCTCCAGGATGCCCTGTCCTCCTCCTCCACACCTTTACTTCCCTCCTGTCAATCTACACTTGCTCTTTGTGGCTCTGTCCTCTGCGAAGTTAGTCTCTGATCCCTCCTCCCTCACTTAAGCATCTCTGCCTTCCTTCTGATCTCCCATAACTCTTCCCTTCCTGGAAAACATCTTGTGGTGCAGTGACCTACCTGGAGCTTGTAGGGGTCACAGAAGCTCCTACCAACCACGTCCAACTCATTTGAGAGTTTCTCATTTTGTATTTTTATTTTGCTGGTTTATTTTTGTTTGGGCTTTTAACCCTCTGAACTTTTTTTTTTTTTAACTGATTCATTTAACAAATGTTTATCAAGAGGACGGGGATGGTGAGGGAAAAGGTAAGGAAAATATTTATTTACTTAATATAAAATATTTATTTACTATGAGCCAGACACTATTCTAGGTACCAGGGATACGACAGGGAACAAAACTATGATTGTGGCGCTGTGATCACAGCAGCTCAAAAGGCTGAGACAGGAGAGACAGCAAGTTCAAAGCTAGCCTCGGCAGCTTAGCGAGGCACTAAGCAAGTCCATGAGACCCTGTTTCTAAATAAAATACAAAATAGGGCTGGGGATGTGGCTCAGTGGTTGAGTGTCCCGAGTTCAATTCTCAGTTCCAAAAACAAAACAAAACAATGATTCTTGCCTTCCTAGAGCTTATCTTCTAGCAGCAGGTGGCAGAAAGCCAGCATAATAAATAAAGAAAGCAGATGGGGTGTCAGAGGGTGAAACAGACTGTGGAAAAGAAAAATTGGAGCAGGAGAGGGAAGAGTGGAGGGTGCTGTAGGCAGGCAGGCTGCCAAATTCAGTAGTGAGAGCTTCCATGAGAAAGTGATATTGGCAGCCGGGCGTGGCGGTGCAGCCCTGTAATCCCAGCCGCTCGGGAGGCTGAGGCAGGAGGATCACAAGTTCAAAGCCAGCCTCAACAAAAGCAAGGTGCTGAGCAACGCAGTGAGACCCTGTCTCTAAATAAAACACAAACTAGGGGTGGGGACATGGCTCAGTGATTGAGTGCCCCTGAGTTCAATCCCTGGTATCCCCTACCCCCCCCCAAAAAAAAAACACCCCAAAACAAAGAAAATGACGGTGGCCTTATGACTAGAGTGGGTGAAAGAGCTGGCCAAGCAGTCACCAGGGGAAGGAGCATTTGAGGGTGCTAGAACGGTCAGCGCAAAGACTCAGGTGGGATCATGCCCAGTGAATCTGAGGAGGTAGGAGCTGGGTGGTTGAAGGGGAGAGGCCAGAGGAGGGTCACAGCAGCAACCTGGGTCAGGCTGTCCAGCTTAAGGCCAGAGAGGAATTCGGCTTTTTCTTTTAGTAAAACAGGAAGCTGTTGTAAGATTTTAAACAGGAGTTGCCATTGACCCCCTCCATGGGGATGGGGGTCTTGCTGTGTTGTCCAGGCTGGCCTCAAACTCCTGGCTTCAATCCTCCTGCCTCAGCCTCACAAGTGGCTGGGACTACCGGCACAGGCCACTGTGTCTGGCTTATCTGACTTACTGCAGTGGCGTGAGGGTTACTAATGTGCAGCCGGGTTAAGAAGAGATTGGCGGAGGAGGTGGGAGTGGCACCGGGCCAGAGTAGGTGTGTACATAGGCTGACAGTGGTGCCACAGACTGTCAGGGAGAGGCCAGCTGCTCAGGAGGCTGAGGCAGTAGGATCAAGGCCATGCAACATAGCGAGAGCCTGTCTCAAACAAACAGAAGTAGGTGTCCATTAGGAGACAGGGGCAGTGACCTAGGTGAGCAAAAACTGGCCCGGACTGAGACTTCACATGGAAATCCAGCTTTCTTTCCTTAGAACTGACAACGCTGGGACCCATGTTCCCGTGGGGCGAGAACCAGCTGCTACTGGCAAATTTCCAGTGGGCCCAATGGACCCACCTCACTCCTTTAGGGTCCTTGAGGACTCTCAGATGTGGTATTCCTGATTGAGAGGTGTACACTCGGCTTCCCCCTGCCGTCTCTTTACTGCCACCTAGTGGGGTTTTTTTGTTTTGTAGTCTGGGGGTTTAAACCAAGGGCTCATATATACTGGGCATGCGCTCTACCACTGAGATCCATCCCCAGCCCTTTTTATTTTAATTTGAGATAGGGTTTTGCTAAATTGCCTCCAATTTGCCATCCTCCTGCCTCAGCCTCGCCAGTAGTTGGGATTATAGGCTTGCTGCGGTTCCCAGCGCCCCGTAATGATCCTCAAAAGAATCACCTCCATTAAACCGGTCCCGTTTCAGGGTGAAGACAAAGCTCCTCCTGCTGCCCTGCATCCTTCTCCCCACACATTCTCTACTCATAGCCACAGTGGTCTCTCTCTGTTCCTTTACCCCATGCTCTGTCCCTCCTCAGGGACTCTGCACATGCTGAGTCCTGTGCCTGGGATGGTCCTCTCTCCCCACCTGACTTCATTGATTCCTCCCCATCTTTCAGACCCGTTGGTACCATCTTTTATCAAAGTTGGACCCGGCACAAACTGGGGAGACAGCCACTCTTTCATTTCTTCACATGTTCAAAAAGTTTTGTTTTGTTTTGTTTGGTACCAGGGATTGAACTCAGGGGCACCCAACTACTGAGCCCCATCCCCAGCCCTATTTTGTATTTTATTTAGAGACAGGGTCTCACGGAGTTGATTAGCGACTCACTTTTGGTGAGGCTAGGCTTTGAACTCAAGATCCTCCTGTCTCAGCCTCCGAAGCCACTGGGATTACAGGCATGCACCACTGTGCCCAGCTCAAAAAGTATTTTTTTTAAGACT